TATCAAATACACAAGTGGATACTGATGTCTGTTTGATATCCAAGGCCTCCTTGAAGGAAAATATGTTATGGCATCGGCGACTTTCACACTTGAATTTCAAGAATCTAAACAAGTTGGTTTGTGACAACTTGGTCAAAGGAATCCCAGAACTGGAGTTTCATAAAGATCATGTATGCGGTGCATGTGAGATGAGTAAACAGAAGAAAGCTTCTCATAAGCTAAAGATAGAGTTCAATACCGAACGTCCTCTACATCTTCTTCATATGGATCTTTGCGGTCCTATGAGAATCCAGAGCATCAATGGTAAAAAGTATGTGCTGGTCGTAGTCGATGACTATTCCAGATATACCTGGGTTCATTTTCTGCGAGCTAAGGATGAAGCAGCCGAGACAATTATTTCTTTCTTGAAGACAGTTCAAAATAATCTGCAACTTCAAGTTCAGAAAATCAGAACAGACAACGAAACTGAATTCAAGAACACCACACTTGGTTCATACCTCGAATCCATCGGTATTTCTCACACATTTTCGGCAGCTCGGACACCACAACAGAATGGTGTTGTTGAACGAAAGAACAGAACGTTGGTGGAAGCGGCACGAACATTGCCTACATGTTCCAGTCTTCCTTTATTCTTATGGGCTGAAGCAGTAGCCACTTCTTGTTTTACCCAAAACCGCTCTCTTGTAAACAAAAGGTTTGGTAAAACTCCGTATGAAATAATAAACAAAAGAATACCTAACATCAATTTCCTTTGAGTTTTTGGTTGCAGATGCTTCATTTTAAATGACAAAGAGGACAGAGGGAAGTTCGTTGCTAAAGTTGATGAAGCATTTTTTGTTGGATACTCGAAGACATCCGCTGCATACAGGGTGTATAATAAACGGACCAAAATCATCAATGAAAGCGTGAACATATCTTTTTGATGAAGTCATTGATGTGGCTTCTGAATAATTCAGTTCAGGACCCGGATTTATAATTAACACTTCGCAAAAAGCTGATCAACCTGAGACTTCTAACTCTGATAAAGCTGATTTAGATTTCTTATTTGAACACTTTTATGAAACATATTTTGATAATAAACCTAATCAGTCTGATGTTTTCATCAAGGAAAATTCAACTGAACAACAGTTATCGGGTCCATCTTTTGATGTGCCTATAACTGAAACAGAAGAGGAAACAGAAGCAATCGATGAAGAAATAGAAATGGAGAATCCGAACAATCCCATTCAGTGTGAAGAGGGTGAAAATTCTGAAGTGCAAGAGGTGTTGGTTGAACAAGTTGATAATAATCCACCTCAATCAGATATTCAATCTATACCAGTTCCTAATATTGAACCTTTACCTGAACATGCTCCTATAAACTCCCCAAGTTCTTATA